GAAATTGAATCTGTTGTAAATCTCACGAATGAGTTTAAAACTTTAAAATGAGAAAATTAATATATGTGCTCAAGGCTACAACTTCCTACGCCTAACTTCCAATCCCCGTCTGTGGCTAGATAATTCATTTGTTTCGGAAATTCGATTTGCAGAAAGTTACACAAGGGCTAACTAACTACGTTAGCCGTCCCAACTTTAAACTAATAGACTAGAGGGAAGGAACCTAGTCAACAGCACCCATCGCCAGCTCTTGGACTACTCGAATCAAATAGTAGGAGTTGAACGTCACTCTTATAACTCTTATATTGACAGCATCTTTCGAAGCTAAATTACATTTTATTTATTATGTTATTTCTAAATTTATTATCATTGCGCATGTTTGAAAAAAATCACAAGCTGCTGACATTAAAATTAAACAAAAAATTCACAGCACTCTTACAGTCTGCATAAAAATGCTATTTTCAGTAGTTTATTTCGAAACCATTTAAGTCCACAGATAAGTAGTGTATTGTCTGCACCTACGCCTATACCGCACACTATCTCCAATAAAAATTTTATTTGCATTTCAAACATGTTCTCATCAATGGTTCTGGCTTGCTGTGACTACTTAATAGAACACCATCAACGTCCGTTGGTCGCATCTTCTCAGTGGGTTAGTGCAATGCACGTGTTACTTACACTACAACAAAATGAAATCCTGTTTCTGTTTGGAGGCCATTAGCCCACGAGGGTCAAACCACAGTTAACACCATATTCCAAATGTGCATGAAAACTATATTTAGTCGTAACTCTTGACGTTGCCGCTAGGCTCCTGCTGCTAGGGATTAAGGTAACAACATTTATATGTAAACATGTCTGCGAGCTCACGTAAGTTATGTGGTGTGTAAGCCTCTTTTTATAACTTCCTGACCTTTGTATGTCCATTACGAAAATTTACACCACTCTTCCCTATTAATGTTTAAGCTTATGAGTAATGCATGTCTTCTCTGTTGAAACGATTAACGTAATATGGGTCGGTTTTTTTCTCATTTTCGGATTATTTTGAGCAGTTGGTAACTTGGATAATGAAGGACAAAACTTCACATTTGACAGCAAATATGGTAACAAACATCTTAAATTTTATACATATAAAAGCTCAGATGAAACCAATTAACTTTATTCTGAATTTAGAAACAGGGCAACCATCGCTGACGCCAAACTATATGTAAACAAAAAATGTGAAGAAGAATCCAACATATAATTCTCCTAGAATTAACTGAGAAGCCATGTAATCTTTGTTTAGAAATTATCATCCAGCAAAGGAATATATTTTACAGTCAGAGTTTATATACTAGATTTATAAATTCAATACATGAATTTATAAATACGTTTATATTTACTTATAAACATTCTGAATCTGAAGTGTTTAGGCTACATTTATCAGTAACTGTAATTTCAGTGAGTCTAATGCATACATCAATGTTGCTGTAAAAATGTTAAGTATTTGCGAGTAAAAAGATCCTTTTCATAAGAATTAATTTTTTAACACCATGTACCCAAAGCCATAGAGTTCTGCCAGCGATTTAGGAATAAAACCGTTAAATAATGTTAAGAAGACCATTAGAGTCGAGATAAATTCTTGCAGTGGGATCCAAGTCTTTTATTCTGTTACTTTAAGCAATTTCAGCTTGAATTATAGATCGTACATACACATATTATGAAACATATCAAGGCAATGCACCTCTGGGGCTTCAATGTAACAGGAAATGGATGTAGCTTTATTATTAATATTTCCCACTAACAGTGACACATGTTTGGTGGAATAGACCGCTACTCCTTCTGAAAAACTACTTCAAATAGTGAGATCCCACAACCTGTCTTTCCTTTCACTCAGGCGACATTCCAAAATCTCCCAGAGCTGTTCAGTTTATTTCAGTTTGTGGTTATGAAGTGGTCATAACTTATCCTGTGTGGTATAGCATGACATTTTATCATTCTGTTAAGTATATGATCTTTCCCTGTAGTATTTCAACAATGCAGACAGTGCAGTAATATCCAGAATATCATATTCAATAAGACATTCATAAAAACCTTTAATAAGGACCAGTGAATGAAATGCAAACTAGCTAAAATAGGCCTACAACATGATACTCTTCATAGATGAAACGACACAGCCATATCCAAACCTTCTTTTGGCTGTCATAAAAGACAATGCAGTCAATGATTATTGGTCTTATTTTGTCCTTCACCCCAATTTTTCACCCTATAAGAGCCCATACCTTACATTCAAAATCGTAATGAGCGGCTTACAGGCTGCGAACCGTACGTGAAATATGTTAGTGCTGCAATGAGCTTTCAGACAAGCAGTTTTGTTTCATAACACATTTCAAAGATTAAATGTCCAAAGTAATGATTGAAATGTGGATGCCTGAGCAGATATTTTTCTACATTGGTCATTTATTTTTTCAGAACATTAGTGAAATGCAATTTCACTATGAAATGTTTCTTACATTTCTAACATCAGTGCTGTATACAGTCACTATTTTTACTTGTAAGTTCAGGAGTTTTTTTTCTTCTTTTCTTGTGATATCTTAACTCTAAGATTCAATTTCATTTTCAGTAATTTAGGGATAAGACCTAAGATGGTCAGAGACTGACCCACTCGCTACCATTCACCCTCTCGTAGATAATACTATTCGAGTTGGTTAATTTTTCTTTCTTTTAACTATAGTTATTTCTACTTATTATTTGATTTGAAAAACTTCTTACATTTCTTAATCGATCTTCAACCTATTTTATTTAGCTTTAGTAGTAATTTTAGTAATTTTAATTTTTTGGAATTCTTTAAAATATGAAAAATATACAGTCCATTGCTGCAGGATATTGACACATGATTTAAACAGTTCTGTTAAATGTGATTTTTTAAATACTTTCTTTTTATTAATTTTATTTTGTCATGTTAGATGGGGCTATCTTCAGAGATTATATGCAGCAATGAACCGTGGCAATCTCGTGCAAATTCAGTGGGAATGGCCTTATTACTAGTTAGATCTGTGTTTTCTCTCTACTTTGGAATAGTGTGTGTATGTTTTAGCTCCTTTATAAAACATGTATATATATTGTGCAACATTTAAGCTATAAGCGCATTTCAGGCATAAAGTGATCATTAACAGAACAAGTTAGGCTAAAGAAATAAATATAAAGAAACTCAACAATATTCACGTAAATAATACCATGATCCCACCTAACAACAATTGCACCAAACTATGAAGTGCATGAAAAATTATACTACATTTTTGTTGAATTAAAAACACAAACAAGTAAAACAATACAAGCTTGTTTTGTTTCAAGTCTATGATAAAATTTGATAGTTTTATTATATCGCTATTAACAGAGAAACTCTCCCTTAATCAGAGGCAAAGTAGTATTTTTTGGTGGCAGGGCAAGCAACAAGGTATTCCTGTAATTTTTGCATCTGTTTTATACACTGTTTGGAAGGTTCGAAATCTGTTGTATCCAAATATGTAATCCATATAATGGTAATGTATTTTAGTCGGGGGTTATGAGCAATTAGACAGGCATACGGTATCGGAGTGTCCTGTCTTCATTGTTTGTTTGAGGCTAAATACCTTGCTATTGACCTTTTGATCTGGTAGAAGGCTACTACTGTTATCAATGCTGTCCTTGTCAGCACCAAACCTATTTTTGAGTGCCATCACAGCGTCTTTGGGCTTGATAGATCGTATCCATAGAACCTCTACAGACTGCAAGTCGAACATCTCGAAACCTTGCTCATGCATGTAATCGAGAGAATAATGGTGATTTATGTGACTTGCCAGAGAATGGCAAAGTTCCAGTCACAGTCAGTGGGGCTTGGAGCTACCTCCTTGAAGAAGAAGAATGCTTACGTAACAGACCCGTCGGTTACACAGCAAAAAGTACTGCAAATTAACTATGGGTTTTCCGCTTACGGTGTGGCGAATCAAAACTTGGTCAAAGTTTGTTCGATTTGGAAATCGTAAACTGTAATCGTCATATCTCATTGTACACTATATCCTGTTTACGTTTCGTCAAAATTAGATAAATCCCGGACATTTTACGTCCAATTCCTGCAGGGCAAGGAATTTATATGTCATGTTTAAATTTTGTTAATTAATTGTTTTATAGTGGTAGTTTTATTCATTATTTTCAGTACAAAGATGGGTTATTTGAACTGCATCTTTCGTGTGCACATGGTTTTTCCAACCATAGTTACATAAAAAACTGATTTAAAAGCATATGATAAAATGTAATGACTTAAAATATTAATGTTCAAAGAATGACTGTTTATTCTTTTCTTGTGTACCTATAAATTAATATATTATATAAAGCGCATCTGATTAACACAATAAAGATAGGGTTTTAAAGAATGGATATGGCAACTATCGATAGTAAACGAGCTATTTGGGTGACACTAACATAACGCAATAGTGGTGTGTGTGTGATGACCAACGACGAAAACTATTGTGTTCAATGACAAAAACACTACATCTTAAGAATGTATGATGACCAACGACGAAAACTATTGTGTTCAATGACAAAAACACTACATTTTAAGAATGTATGATGACCAACGACGAAAACTATTGTGTTCAATGACAAAAACACTACATTTTAAGAATGTATGATGACCAACGACAAGAGAACTTATTTTGTAATTATGACAGGAAACTTGATTATCAATGAGAGCGGAATAAAGGCTTCTTGTAGGTCACTATTCTAAGGAGCTTGGTAAGTCCGATGTATTGAATTAGCTAGATTACCTACTCGGTTGATTTACAGATCTAATTAATTTAAGTATCCTGCTTTGATCAGAAGTTTATTGATAATCAACTGTAACAGAGCACTGTATATCACTATTAAGTGTTTCAAGGCTAACCATGATAGTAAATAATATTGTTGTATGACTCTGATCGAACATATTATGGATGTTTGGCAATCTTCAACAACAGTGATTAACTCTCCTAACCTGATCCCAAAGAATGCTCGTGCCTGAAGGCATGAAGGGAAGGGGAGATCGAAGGGTACCACCTAGTGGAGGGCGCATGTGGTAAGTTCCATAAGCAGTGCCAGAAGACGGGTAGTTCCAAAGTGTGCTACTAGGAATGGGATGAGATCACCACAATATTTTAATTAACTTACAATTTACGTAGAGAACTATTTTTCATATTAACGTAAAATTATTAAACTTTAGATTGTTTGTTTGTAGTTACGCACAAAGCTAGACAAAGGGCTGTCTGTGCCTCTCTCACCACGGTATCGAAACCCGGATTCTAGCATTGTAAGTCCGCAGACATACGGCTGTGCTACTGGGGGCAGAACTTTAGATATACATGCTATGCATCATATTACGAAGAAAAACTATACTATTTCATTCTCTATAGTTCTTAACACGATATTTGTTTCTGTGTTATCGTTGAAGTTACCCTTATATTTTATTTCGATAACAATAATAAGTAAAGCTTTTGAAGAATTAAAATCATTATTTCACGTTTTACACTTTGAATGTTTGTATAGCGTACTTCATGAATATTCATATGCTAGTTTAACTAAATCTACATGGAGACCTGTTTTCCAGGTTAACATAAAACATTCAAACTCTAGATGTGTATGTTATCTATCATATTACTGAATAATAAAAATACTATTGCATTCTTGTTAGTTCTTGATGTAGCGTATCGCTTTATTTGTAAAACATTCCAATTCTAGATATTTTCATCTGAATCGTATAAGCTAAACGTAATACATTATGCTGACATAGAAAAGTAGGGAGTACAACTGTAGCGTATCGCTTTATTTGTAAAACATTCCAATTCTAGATATTTTCATCTGAATCGTATAAGCTAAACGTAATGCATTATGCTGACATAGAAAAGTAGGGAATACAACTGTATTGAATTTATCATAACATATGTCCGTGTTTTCCTTCTGAATACGGAAAATAGATATTTCATTTATTACAGTTTGGCTAATTGTACAGCATTTCTCACGTTTATCCATATGTTAGTTTAACTTACTGTTTATTTAGAGAATTGTTTTCCATATTAATATGAACATTCAAAAAGCATTCATACATATCATATAACAACATTAATTTTGTTTATCCAAGTAAAAATGGACAGTTGTATTATCAAACAAAGTGTTTGAATAAGTAAAACCATTATTCTGTTTCATGGTGTTTTGCACTTAACGATTTGCTCATGGTATTATGCATGCATTAGTTTAACTTACAATGTATGTAGTCCTGACAGGGACTGTTTTATGCTAACCTAAGCATTCAACCTGTAGATAATTTGAGGTCTGACATGGTGATTAGGGCACTTATCTCGTAATCCGCCGGTCTTGGGTTCGAAACTCCATCATCAAACATGCTCGCCTTCTCAGCCGTGAGGGCGTTATGGTGTGACGGTCAATCCCGTTGGCGGTGAATGGTGTTGATTAGCTGCCTTCTCTCTAGTCTAGCACTGCTAAATTAGGGGCAACTAGTCTAGATAGCCATCAAGTAGCTTTGAGCAAAATTCAAAACAAACAAAGTAGATAATTTCGTATCCAAATGAAAAATAAGTAATAAGAGTATATTCAGCTTATCATGGCCTACGTAGCCCTGTTTTAATTCTTACATCTGATTTTACCTTGTTGTTAAACTCTATAAAATAACATTTTGTTTCAGCTAAATATATGGGGTACACATCAAAGTGATTGGGAACTTGCACCATGCCCCACAGCTGCTTCGATTTTTGCTATAGTATTGTTGCAGACATTTTGTGTCGATGAATATTTAACGTTTGTTTTACACATATTGCACATTCAGTTATAATCTATTTTAGATATGGTAAAAACGTTTGCATTTCAATATGTAATTAAATGTTTGGATATATAAGTGGTTGTCAATATCCAGCATATGATTAATATTCAAAAGTCAGATACATCTGAGTCAAGCATAGCCTTTTATGGTAAACTTGAGAGACGGAAAAGTGAAAACATCTACATCAACAAAGTTGCCAAAGACAAAAGAGATGACCAATTTTATAACTAACTAGACGTACTTTTTCTTAAGATCATACTACACTCACACTTAGCTTTTTCTTCTCATGCCCATCAACTTTATTTAAGTTGTACTTATTTCTGTCAGTAATTGTCTCATAGCAATATAAACTTAACAAATTGCTGTATGATACTGATCATCAATAATACATAGATTTAGGAACATGTTTTGTTTCTCATTGGCATTATGTTACTTTCTTCATTCACCTATCTCGATTTATTCATTATCTCTCACATATCCTAACCTTATCTTTTTTTTTCTTTCAACTCATGTTTTTTATATTCCTTTCTCAAACCAACGCCAAATCGGTTTCTTTTTTTTCTGTCCTTGCACCAGCTTCCCGTATATCGGATTACAAAGTTACATTTTTTCTAGCGACTTAGAGTACTGTAATCTCCTAATTCCTTAAATACTGACCAAAAGTCAGTCACTTTCTCACATTCTCTCATCTTCAACCAATGTTACCTTACACCTAACTTCATGACACATGTTCCCCTCTTCCTAAATACATTCAACAATGTTGATTGTATTCAATCTCGGCTGTATTTCTTTCTAATCTCAATGTTATCCCAGCTTTTGAATTTCCCGCGTTTAATCACACACTCGTTAATGGAACATTAATACTTTCACTGTTTTTATAACATATATCCCATTACAGTTCAGTCTTTGTCTAGATTCTGTTTCATACCTGTTACGTAAGTATAAATTATATACAGAAAACAATAAAATGGCAAGTTTTGCTATATATTTCACTTGAAAAAGTATGTATTAGTGAATGGATTTCATCTACGGTATGTCATTCATTTGGATAAATGTTTGAGAAAGCATGATATTTATTTCACATGAAAAGGTTTAAATTAGTGAATGGATTTCTTCTGTGGTAAGTCATTGATTTAGAAAAAATGTTTGAGAAAGCATAATATTAGTGTTACTGTATTTAGCTGGAACAAAATAATTTCCTGTAGATTTTAATAACTGGATGATAAAATCAGACATAAGAATGAAAACAAGGTTAAATTGAATACTCTCTTACTGTTTTGGACACGAAAATATCTAAAATTTGAATGTTTTTGGTTAACAAGAAAATCAGCCTTTTTCAGGATTATGTACTTGTAGGGTAATCTAGTGTAAGCATATGGTGCTGATCTTATCTCCTACTTCTAGTAGCATACTTTAGGACGGGATTATGTACTTGTAGGGTAATCTAGTGTAAGAATATGGTGCTGATCTTATCTCCCACTTCTAGTAGGATACTTTAGGACGGGATTATTTACTTGTAGGGTAATCTAGTGTAAGAATATGGTGCTGATCTTATCTCCCACTTCTAGTAACATACTTTAGGACGGGATTATTTACTTGTAGGGTAATCTAGTGTAAGAATATGGTGCTGATCTTATCTCCCACTTCTAGT